GGTTTATGGCACACTTCTGGGCACACAAAACAAATTGAGCACGAGCTCCAGTCGACATACTTAACAGATTGCATCATAACGTCACGAATATTGCGCAGTCAGTTGAATGAAAGACCCAAATGTTTCTTCTTTACGGCAGCATTGACATCACCACAACAGGTGTTCGACATCATACCGAACAGCCGAAAATGCGATAATGCCATTGCTAACCACGATTTTTGCCACGTTGCGATAAATAGACATTTCGACGGGTGTAAGACCCGTGGTCTCCTCAGCAGGCACACGAGAGTCAGAGTCGCCGAACCACAAGTATTGCGGATGTTGGCTTTGCGCTGTCTTGTCGAAATTATTCGGTCGAATAGCTTTTTACCCTCACACCATTTCCCGATGTTTTCAAATAGACGCTCAAGTGACGTAGTCATCGTCATGTTGGAAGCATGAGGCAGATAGGAGGAATGCGAGCTATCACCTAAACAACAGAGAAACGTTAAAGGACCAGTCCCGTATACTGTCACAATTTATCACATAGTACTTTACATATAAACAATTGCTCCCATAAGGGGCCCACACCATTTCATAAGCTCAGAAGTACCATTATGAAGTAAAGGATATATTAGTGCTTATTATGAAAATTAGACAACTTAGTGTGTACAATTTAAGCGTCCCGCAACTTCAACAGATTTTACTATAACCCACAACGGGATTATCGTGCGCTTTGCAAAGAGAACGCTTCGATAATCAGAGTCCGCTCCGCATCAAAACCGCACAGATATTGTGTTCGGGCTATCCTATTAAGAATGGAACTGAGAGTATTTAGAATAACTAACACTGTTAGCTTGCTCTACTTTATGCACATCTGTTTAGAATCAATTTTAGTTAGACTAACACGAAATATGTATATTATACTGACTCCTCTAAAACAGTATTCATGTGTACCCCGGACCCCTCTATGAAATGATGAACCATTGCATTAAGGTGTACCTTCTGTGTGCTTTGTGGGAATCAATGACAGAAAATTACAGTCTGATGTTCCCAAATGCATAAGTGATTTCTTATCTGAAGTCACAAGCATTCTGTGTGATACAGAATGCTGGTTCCTACTTGAGGATCTGTGCTGGTGACGAGACCGACTTGCCTCTGTCGTTAGAAGTGGGTGGCATAAGCTAGTCCCTTATACCGGATACTTTCCTAAATTTTAACTTAAGCTCCAATCATGTATTCTTTGGATCTGAAGTTTAACCTCAGTACACCCTTGATTTATGAATCAGGCACCAAGGTTTTATCAGTAAAACATGAAGAAGCCCTTGGGGTGTTTAGCATGTAGCTAGGAGTCATAACTCATTTTAATTGAGTCGCAAATTTAGCTTTAAGGTATTAAGTCGTTCTCTTCCTTCCAAGTCGGGACTGTCCTTATCCCTCCACGTCTGGAATCGCTTCCTCGTCGCACAAGCGTTGTGTTTGCGGGTCTATTTGTGAACACCGACCTCTTACAATTGGTAATACTTCGGGTAGCTTTTCAACAACGCCATACTCGTAACGGGATTTCACGTGCCCTGGTATGAAGGGTGTGGATCACACAATATGATGTCATCACACAGTGGGCTGATTTACACAAAATGGTGTGATCACACAATGGTGTGGCTACAATTAAATAAGAAGTCAGTACGTGCCAGTATCGCGCTCTGTCGTCGCGGCTTCAATCCGTCGAGCATACAAATGCGTCGCTTCGTGCGACGGTGGAACGCCTGGCGCCGTTGGAAACGGAGATCGTTGCACTCCGGCTCAAAAGCAGTTACTAATTTAGCTTCTCGGTGGCCGAGCCCGAGCATCAACGCTTCAGCGTTCACTTGCGCTGGATTCCGGTACGGCTAAAGTAAGCCCACATAAAACACCGGGTGGGTGCGCACCCATTTCGGAAAGTCTAGCGTATACGCAAGGCCTCGCATGGCCACGGTTTTAAGAGGTCCAGTAAACCGTGAACGGAACTTTGTCTGAAAGACGACAGAGACTGCATGTGCAGAATGGTTCTTAGCATTTAACAAAACCAGGTGTCCGACCTCAATGTTTCCAACCATTTCGTCTGCTTCTTCCGTCTGCATATTCTTTCTGCATGTCTTGGCTTTCAGCCATCACATCGCAGACTGGTCGACAGGATATCATCGACTTCTTTACGGACAATGAGAGAGCTGACGTCAGCTAGCTGTTCGGCTATCACTTCCCCACCAAGCCTTGAACCATGGGATGGCGGCGTCAGTGGGACGCAGGGATTGGCAAGCCTATCACGTCGAACGGCGTGTTGCCGGCAGATGCATGCACTGCATTGTTTAGAGCGAACTACACAGGTGGCAGCATAGCGCACCAGCGCTTCGGTGTCTAAGCGCAGACGCTGCAAAGAACTTCTTCAACGACGCCATTCCTGCGCTCAGTTTGACCATCGGTCTGCGGACGGTCCGCTGTTGACATAGTCAACTTGATGCCCAGCAACCTGACGATAGTCAACCAAAACTTCTCAACGAAGCGTATGTCTCTGTCAGAGACAATTGAATCCGGAAGTTCATGTTGTCGAAAGACACGATCGACAAACAGCGTCGCTGTACCCACACCGTCGATGGTGTACAGCACTGCCGCAAGATGAGCCATTTTGCTCAAATGGCCACAAAGGCCACCACACCCGTGTTGTACGCCGAACCCTTCGGCAGGCTAAGCACAAAGCTCATATGTTTGGCTGCCAACACCCGGAGGGTGCCTGTATAATGGCCAGCGGCGCCGCCGCGTTCGGAGAGGATTTCACCCTTAGACATGTCTCACTCGTGCGCATATATATGCTCGTTCATTTGTACAGATTAAGCCACCAATAATGGCAACGAGCTGTACGTCATCTCACGACCGAGATACCCACTTAGTCGGGTGTCGTGGGCCTCATAGAGAATACGGAAGTTCAAACCCTCGTCGTGAGGGACCACCTTTCGTGGCGTATCCGTCGAATCAGTGCTATAATACAGCAATCCATTATTCAGTAAATATCGGTGCAGCCGTACATGCAGTCGCGACGATAACATCTTGTCCGAGTCTCCAAACAACTTGCTCCTGAGAGCCCGAGCAGCGCTTCGCTCACATCATCACCCGCGTGGGGGGCCGCGGGTCCATCCGCCCCGGACGACATCACCGTCAAGCTCATAACCCGGTCTGCGTGACAGCGCATCAGCCAAAACATTCTGTTTTCCTGGCTTATACTTCATCTCGAAGCTATATTCTGCGAAGAAGGAGCTCCACCTGCCATCTGCTGCGAGAGGTGAGGCGACTGTGTTGCAGTGCGTCATGACGCATGATCTTTGTAGATCACAAACGGCTTTCAGCCAAGCAGGTACACCTTGAATTTGACAAGTTCATACTTCATCGCCTTGTCGTGAACTGGGTAGTTCCTCTTCGCAGCCTTAAGCTGGCAAGATTGGAACGCGATTACCCGATGTTGCCCCTCGGCGTCTGCTAGTAGCAGTGCACAGCCGATGGCAAAGTCCGAAGCGTCACAGACGACGCTAAAAGGACGATCAGGGTCTGGCAGCTTCAGTATTGGTGCACGCAGAAGGCTGTCTTTGACCCCATCAAAAGCCTCCTGATGTTCGGTGTTCCAACACTATTGTGTATCCTTCTTAAGGAGATTTGACAATGGCCGTGACATTTTTGCAAAATTCGCGCTATACTTGTGCAAGTAGTTGGCGAGGCTGTGCCTTTCCTTTTGGATCTTTGGAGCCGGCCAGTTCACAATGACCTTGGCTTTAGCGGGATCCGCTCGATAGCCACCCTCCCCAATGAAGCATCCAAAAATGGTTTTCTTCGGCGCGGAAGATGCACTTATCTTCACTAGCATACAGCTTTTTCGCTCGCATGCACTCGAGCCCACTCTCAAACGGACAATGCGGTTTATCGTATCTGTCCTCCCGTGCCTCGCGCGACTGTGAACGAAGATGTTGTCGAAGTATGTCTGTGCGTACGCCCGATGGGGCCTAAACAGTTGCATATCAAGACAATTAAATTTTGCTGGTGCATTTGACAGCCCTTTAGGCATCACCATCCAGTCCCAAGAGCATGCCCCTCAAAGAATTTACCGCTGCCAGCAGAATATCACTTGCTCGCATGGGCAATTGATAATACCCAATGACCAAGTCGAGTGCGCTGTACTTTGTACAGCCAACCATTTTGTTCCGGAAAATATTTGCATAGGAGTCAGCGTTTGTGTCGGAATGGTGGCAGCGCTGATCATATTATAAGCGTGAGCGATACGCCACTTGCTAGCTTCCGGACACAAAACGTGGGTGTCGAATGGGGGGACTTACCCTCACTTACCATTCCTGCGTCGTGCTTCGCACGGAAAGAGGCGTCAATAACGTCGCATTGTTCCTTAGGCAGGAATCATTGGCGTGTTACGCAGTACAAATTGATTTAGTTCCCGGAACCAGGTTAAACTCATGGCGAACACCTCGGTCTGGAGGTAGGATCGACGGCGGGTCTTTGGAGACGACGTCTTGAATTCCTTTACCAAAGGGTTATACGGATTTGAGGGGTCCTTCAGGATCAACGATCCACTTCGGGCGTTCAGCACCCTCCTGGACAGCTCCATCCTAAAGCGACGACGATTTAATCTCCTCGTTTGGTCGTATAAGGACCACCTCCGCTGAATCGCGTGCCTTCAAGGTACCGTCAAACTCTTCGAAGGACATCTCGTCCAGCTCAGAAAGAGCATCCACCGCGGGAATAGCCTCGTGGTTGACGTCGTCGACTTCCTCTTTCGTCATACCGTTGTCGAGGGTGTATAGTTGTGCGCTATCGTCTACAAGATCGGTGGTCGGGCGCAAGAATGGGCACAGACGTGCGGCACTTCGAACGAAGAGGCGTTTTCCTCCTGGACAGAGCTAGAGCTGCAGCTTTCACGGGTGTTCTCACCACCTAACCAGGTTAACGCGTGCGATCGCAATTCCATGCCGCCGGAAAATATAAGATTCCATTGGTGGACTTTATTCAAGAGTTGAAAACTCTCATTGCCGGTATGGCTGCAAATACTATCCCCAAGGCGGTCGCAGTGGCCGTTTTTATTGAGGGTCTTCGCACTGGCTTGCCAAAACGGAAGTTTTCCGTGTGCATCCGTCTTATTTTGAAGAAGCGGTGAATGTGGCACTGAATGCCGAATTCAGCTACAGGTCGACACGACTTGATTTGAATGAACACCAGCGGGCTTGCGCCGATGGATCTCAGCTATGCTGAGGACGAAGTGACAGAGCTCCGAGCTATCGAGCAGCGATCAAACACCCAATGGTGTTTTGTCTGTGGCGACAACCGTCACCTTCGGATTAGTTGTTCCCTGCGCAAGGCGCATCAAGGTTCATCGAAGCAACGTCCCGCTTCTTTGTAGACTTCTGATTTGTCGCAGGATACCCCGATCTCAGCACGTTGACTGCCCTGGCCCAGTGCCCTCGCCAATAGCATTTTTTCCTCCCTGGGTTCATGCCTCATCAAAGCTCAACCTGATGACGTGAGCGTAGCGCCCAATGTCTTCGACCTTCAGTCGATCCTTGGATTGTGGTGCCAAGGATGAGGTCATACCTTAAATTCAAGTCTAAGACTAAGCAGCGTTACACGCTAATGAAATCAAGAATCTTGACACCAATGTTCACAGAGACATTCGGTAACGTGGTGGCGTCATGGTCGCAGACATATTCTGCTCTAAGTGGTCTAGCAAAGCGTTTTCATAGCTCGAAGAAGCCTCTCGGCGCGCACTGATCGTCTCAGGTCTCTGCGAAGCAAGGTGTTGCACGCTCTCATAGCCAAGCAGAGGTATAAGCTTTTTTAGCCCGTTTTGCATTCCCTGAGGCAGGTAGAAAACTTCATTCATCCTCACAGAGGATCAGTCGTAACGACTCATGTGTAATTGACTACAAGTGCTACCAAGAGCAGCGGGGCTGTCGCAGCTCTACGCTTAGAGAAAGCAAGGTCAAGGACAATGACCTATGTTCTTTACAAGAACCAATACGAGTGTAGAGGATCGCAATCCGCTACCTCCAAGAGTACTCACAAACTTGTCCCAATGTATTTAACTACTACGTTTCAAAAAGACAGCTGTATCTTTTTCTTATATAAGCGGCAGAGCCGCCTATATCTAAATTTATAGGTTTTCCTAATTCAGTCGTAAATCTAATCAATATGCATAACTACTGGCTATTCAGCCACGTATTGACTCTTTGTTAAGGTGTATTCACGCCAGCATGTGGTTAAACCGTCTTGAGTAACACAAACCTATATCTGACTACACCATATTGTGTGACCCACACTCTTCTTACCAGGGAGCGGGACTTTTCCACCGCGAAGCTCAAGTCGCGTGCCACAACATGTTGAGCTTTATTGGAGTTGTGGGCAATATGGCGACCGAGTCGTCAGGAGATCACGCTTTCTGCGCGGACAAAATATGAGCTGCTAGCACTAGGCATTCTTATCGCGCTTCTGTTTCAATGATCGCAAGCGATAGCACGCATGGAGTATCCGACCTGAACAGGAGTCCCGAGCATGGCTTGCGGGCTGAACGTGGAGTGGTTCGTAATTCAACGTGGCTGTAGTGGTTCTTTGCTTAGAGAAAGTTTACTAACGTAACGACCTTATATATCATATTAGAACCAGCACGAGTGTAGCGGCGGTAGCAATCCGCTACCTCCAAGCGTACACAGCGCACGGAAGTTGGGTTCATGCTCTCATACCAGACGCGGAGATGAGACCCCCTAAAGTAGGTAAATCACTGGTCTGCTTTGCTATTACAACAATAAGATAATCTGATACTGTATACATATGTTCTAACTAAATTCAATATCACAATTTTCATTTTTATTTTACGTGAGGTATCAGCACACATACATTCTCTATCATCCTCACTAATACTTACACTTTGGCTCTCTGATCATTTACAGTTATACACAAACGCACAAGCATCGTTTGAAAGTGCACGATGTACATATACAATCGTGCAATGTGTGCCCCGTTGCAAGTATGTTCAATAGAACACTATCTCTATTCTGTAAAGTGAAGCTTACAGCCCACGTGTAATTCTGATCATTCAGACCTTTCCGATGTCAGGAATTGTGATGTGTTTTTTTGAACGATCAGACAAAGGAAAACCTTTAGGTCTAATTGCACAAAAGTGTAATGACTACGAGCACAATAATTCAGCATGTACTCTGTGCAATAAATGTATATCTATGATAAGCTAATACTAAATTGCTTATGAGACTGACAACCGAGGTTACTAAGGACCTATACCTTTTCTTATGATACTCCGAAGGTCAATAGTGTAGTATACGTACACAATAAGAAAGTGCGTACAACGCCACACACTTGGCGGAATCAGGGCAAAAATTGAGTGCAAGAGGAAAAACGAGAGGCCGGCATGGAGGTTATTGTATGGCTGTCTGAAAAGGTAAATCTTCTAAGACATATTTGTATTGACTAAGTCTCGTGAACAACGTCCCTATCAGATACAGCAATCTCATCCGTATTGGAAACACTCTTAGCATTTTTTTACCATGTCTGACCGTGACTTGCTCAACCTACTTCTCTTCGACGTCTATTTGACTTTACCATGACCCACAATCAAAAACCGTTGGCAATGTGACATTTGAGCAGATAACAAAATATGCATGTGGAAACTGGACATATTGACCCAACGCATAAGTACCTCGCTCAACGGGTACGTGAAAAACTCAGAAACCTGCTGAAGGTGCATTTTTGGCAACGTTGACGCAAGCACTTCACTATCAAACTTTCGAGAAGCGGATTCAGACAAGATAAGCCCTTGAGCTAAACCATCTATTACAAGGATGGTAAAAGAAATCATACTGAAGGGAGAGGGCCCGATTGCTCAGACGAATATCGGTTGATGGAACAAACAGACTATTTTTTTGCTGAGTCACTTCAGAGCCGTCGTGTTATATATATGAAGTCAGAAACTAGACTAGCACACGTCATCAGCTTTGACCAAGCAGCGGTGTTGAAGTTGATTCCTGGTCGGGTGTTTGCTCGCGCTCAAGTCGTGTGTAGCAGTAAAAGTAAGACACGATTACCGTTGCCCTTGTTTGCAGCTTGGTGAATCGGATATGAAATTAAAGTTTGGAAGCGCTAATAAGACGATATGTTTAAAGAAGAGGTCTGGTACTGAGCTCAGTTCCACTTAAATAATTAACAACAAAGCATGGATGAAAGCTCTACCTCTCCGCGGACGCGTGATCTTGACACACCCCAAATGACACTGTAAATCCGATGCATTACGCGACCCACACGTTAGTTTTATGATGAAAATGAAAAGAAGTGATAGCACGCTTCCTGCCTCCAAATACTACTTTAAAGTGCATAATTGAAATCGCTGTGCAGATGCGATGTTATTGTCGCCTACAACCCAAACACTGACTCGATTCAGAAATCAGGTGATTGAAAAGAAATGTAATCGATTAAGTTTGAGCTATGTAATGGGTGAGTTTTTGCTGGGAATTAATCTTCGACAAGATTGTCTTGGATTGATGTGCTCAGATATATGGCATAACTACAGGTTAATACACCAACGGACATTGCAGATTTATTTTGCAATGCTGCGGTGGAGAGCACAAAATATATTTAGTATAGCTGGACTCCTGAAAGACACAACTGAATGATGCTCCTGTGGCGTGCTCCAAGCCGTCTGTCATTTAAAGCTGGTGGTGACAAAGGAGAAGAAGAATAAAGCTTTGTTTGACTGCAAAACGATATGTCGATGCAGTCCGGATGTTTTCTGAGAAATAAAGAGTATCATTTGTGTTAGTACACCGTCTGATATGTTATGGGAGTGACTTTTGATGCTACAAGGACTATTCGACGCCCCAGCAATGCTCAATCGATTGGTCTCCAATATGTGATGGCCACTGCGACGCTTCGCTTTTACCCATTTTGACGAAATCTTTGTTCATTCAAAGGACAAAAATGGCAGTCTGCCGAAGAAGTGCACTTGGAGCACCTCCATATAGTGCTGGAATGTATGCGTACACATTCATTGCACGCGAATATTGCAAAGTCTAGTCTCGATGTTAACGAAGTACCCGTATTCGGTTGTTACGTCGGTGGACACTTTTTTGTGCAGCCCTCGAGAAGGACAAAGCAATCGTGGAGTGGCCTGCGCCACCAAACAAAGAAATTTGAGAAAGTTGATTGCTTTGTTTAATTCCCCGTATCGCTTCTCGTGTAATTACGCGGAAATGGTATGCCCACTTTCAAACTTGCTGAAGTAGGTCGTATCATGGAGTAATCATCCACTTATGACAAATCATTCATTCAGACCAAGTACAGTATGACTTGCTTTTTCAGACGATATGAAGCCGTACAACGTGCTTCTGAGTTTGCCAACGTTGGTACACTATAACAAAATAAATCAAAAGGACTCGATCGTTTCGGGTCTTATCGGCCGCGACAGCTGAAGCCACCGGAGTAGAACTACTCTGTCTATAACAAGGAGCTTCTGACAATGGAGTATACCCTGGAGAAGTTTCGTGTTCACCTCTTGGACTCAAATTTTTTTGTCGTCTACACGGATCACGCAAGATTGCAATATGAACTTCGGTCTCCTCATTTGTCACAGCGAATGGCTCGCTGGATGTCATTCTTCGCAAAAATACAACTTCAAGGTCGCGTGTAGACCGAGAAAACTGAACATGCTGGGGAAGCATTGCCACGTCGTATGGGTGACGATCTAGCTCATATTAGCTATATTCAAAACGATGTATTTGATATTATATGTCAAGCGTATGTTCAGGATAAATAGTGTGATCTGATCATCAAGACATGGAGCTCCATGGCAAACTTCCTGGTCGCGGATACATCGATATACATCATAGGATGGTCTCCGTCACTGTGATTTGCATGGCGACAAGCCACGGAAAGCGGATCCCCACAACTATGTTTTGAAGCACAGAAATTGCAAAAGAGGCGCATGATACGCCGGTGATCAGTCACTTTGGCCGCGAGAGGAACCACCACTATCTCAGTGCCCAATTTTGGTGGCCTTGCTTGTTCAAGGTTGCATGATTCGTGAGGACATGCTATGTCTGTCGGCGCGTGAAGAGCGCAAGCCACACGCAAGTGCCGCTGCAAGTCTCCCTGTTCCTACTTACTGTTGGGGGCCAGTCAGCCTCAGTTTTATCTTCGGTTTCTTCAAGAATGCTAATGGTCACAATGGAGTGCTCACCTTTATCGACAGACTCAGCAGGATGGTTCGCATCGCTCCATGTAGCGACTATATTGATGCCGACGGTTCGACAAGATTGTTAATTGGTCACATTTTTGCAATCACGGGGTGCCAGACGCTATCGTCATTGATCGTAATACACGATGCACAAGTGGTCCTATGGAAGAAATATTTTGAATTCCTGGTATTCGCTTGGATATGTCTATAGCGGTACAGCCAGGGAGCGATGCGCATACAGAACGTGCCAACCGAGTGGACGGTGATGTGTTGAGAAGCTTTATGCAAGAAATCTCGCAGAATGGAGCTCGTTGTCAGTTGCTATGAACAATACGGTTCATTATTTCACTGCAGTTACGCCATTTTCTAACGACTTGCGACACCTGCAAGCACCGCGTTGTGCGATGGATGGTGTATCTGATGTAAGTGAAGGGGGGGCTTGGCAAACCGATATCTCCCACATTTATACAAAAGTGATGCGAATGTGAAGCGCAAGAACGAGGATGCCCTAAATTCATATATCATAATTTGTGTGAATGTGATCACACGTGTGCGAGTCGCAATTGCGAATGCGCAATATTCACAAAAGGAATACGGAGATAGACGAAATTATTATAGCAAAATGTCTTTTATTGCTGGAGATTGTGTACTATCAATATTAAGAACCTATCAGACGATGCGGTCTCGAAACTAGTAAAATCGAAGCCATTACCTCGCTTCACCGGTCCATTCCGACTAGGCCATGCTTCAAAGTTGGATGTATTGCATTTTATTTGAATATGGCCTCAGCGCCACAGATTTGGCACGAGGGTCAAACGTCGAACCCTTTGGTTTCGTCGCATCAGCATCATTACGAAAACACGAAGATCATCATGAACGTCGGGACTTTACGAATAATCATTTAAATTGGAAGGCAAATGACTGCTGATTGCGTTGTCGTTTACTACGGAAGGCACATTTACCCAGACCGGAGCGCGCTTGGCAGCAGGCTTCACGTCATCAGCGACGGCAGCCGCAGCAGAGGGGGCTTGTAGAGCCTGCTCTAATCACCAAATCTAATTTTCGATGGCATCCCCAGGCGAGTTTTCGATGACACCATGCGACATCGCAGACACCGCAGAGTCGCCTTCACGCGTTGTTGTGTCCTCGACACGTTATCGAACTTCTTGATCAATTGCCGGCTTACCATAGAAAGGAGTTTCTCCACCTTCGACAATCGCAATTCCAAATCAGTCAATGAAGCAGAAGAGACGCCCCCCTTCTTGGTCGACAGATATTATCATGTCGAGATGTGATTATGGAGAGGCCGGTCGAAAGGAATTCTTATTGAAACGACTGAATTTTCCAGCGAACGAGAATACGTGGGAGCCTTGTAGTCGTCTTCTTCGCGACTGTCGCAATATCACTCTCGCGTTCGACGACTGATTTTGCTTAAGGGGATCTACCCCGTCCTCATCTTTCTCTCTCCATTTCGTCGTACATTCGACTAATGACCGCACGTATTTCGCAAGCATCTTCGATATCAGAGTGAATCCGATCCTGCACCATTGAATGGGAAAATCGAAAGCGCATATCGCGTATCTTCAGCAAGTCTGGAACGGCAGTCGGGTTTTGCAACCGGTGTTTATTCGCTAATTTGGTGGTACGAGCTCATGACCATAATCAAACGTCGATCTTCTGGACAACATCCAGATGGAATTGCTGGACGTTCATTATGCACGTGAAACTTCGTGCGTCTCCTGTAGCACCTATAATCGGTCCGAAGGCGCGGAACTACGCGGTTCGAGTCATATTCAACTGAAGAGTTCGTTAAACTTTGGTGCTACCACCACGTCGGTTGCAAAATTCGTGACGACGTTCAATTTAACGGAAGCGCAAATACATTAACGACTGATCTGCAATCGCTATACCCAAGCTGGTCCTTCTATGCCAGGTTCTGGATCAACGTGCTAAAGCGCCGCTTGACGTGGCATTGGAGCATGATACAAGTTCGATGATGGCGATGGCGCCTTCGCATCCTCAGATTGAGGTGCGGTTTTGCTCTACGCTCGTCGTCAGCGCAAGTCGTCTTTGACGCGTTTATTTCGCGTAGAATGACGAATGACCGAGTCTCAGAGTCGAAAAAAGGTCTGAAGATAGTCTAAAAAAAGTTTGAGGTGAATATTGATAAACCCACTGCTGAGTGGGGTGATCAGTCCCATTTCACATGTTGTGTGAAGCATATACCTTTGTGTGTGGTTAAGATTAACTATGTATCGCGCATAGTTGTATGTTCCTTACTCCCTCTGTCTCACAATAAAACTTTGTTTCAGAATAAAACCCGGATATGTCGAGGTTGAATGTTTATTGAGTAGAAATGAAGGCTTTGGCTTGCTGCAACGCTTAAAGCGCCTTTCACAAGATTGGGAGATCGCTCTGGATCTTTTTGTATTGTTAGCAAGAATTCGTTAAAATCTCTTCGTTGCTCATCAGTTAAATTTGTTTTTTTTTCTTGTTAATACAACGTGGTTCTGGATCGTTGTTATCAGCAATTTCTGTGAGGTTTTCGCCAACTGGACTGGCTGAAACGATCTCTGATGAATTGTCATGACGTTCCTCAATGGCCATGAGAGCGACGGGTTCCAATTGCTCCATTTAATGTTACCAGCGGTGCCCAAAAAAGACGGACTAAATCTCAATTTTTGGCAGTGGATATCTCAACATAAAACCTTGGTTGGGCACAAAAACTGGGGAGCACTCACGGAGTATCGTTTTGCGCTTAACAAAATTGACTCCAAATGATTCCGGTTAAAAATCTCGTTATGTTTGCTATTTTTGCCGAACACGGGTTTTATTTTGAGACAGAGGGAGTATTATAGTTTCATCAGAATTGTCGGCACTTCAATTTCAAAATTAATCCAATGGTGTTATCAGAAAGCTTGTGGGTACGAACATGGCAGCTGTCGAGATAAAGTGTTGACGGGGGCTAGTTTTCGCCTCGACGTCAATATCATGCTTTGTTTTTCGCAAGTTGTAGCATTAAGCTAGCGACACTCTCTTCCGACGCCTGCTTCTATTCAAATTTGTTTGTAAGGCCATGATAGCAGGACTCTGACATGCTCCATTTCAACATACCCATATGAGTCAACTCGAAGCTGGTCAATTCATCGGACATATATGGCTAGCAAAAAACGATATTTTTTAAGTTGCTTGTTATCCTTAGAATAAACTCACCCATATTCATTAAGCTGAATGTGTTAGAAGCTAAGCGCAGGAGGCAACATAAGAAGGCAAATTTTGTTAAATATTAGTCGTGTCGTCCACTCGTATATTATACGCTGATGTTTTGATTTTACTAATCGAAACTCATACCGCATTGCTCTTTTATGACCTAAAGAATGCGCACTACGATACCAGGTCGCTTACGCACGTTGCTCCTGACGCTCTCGCTCGTCTTCTCTGTCGCCACAATCCAAGTAGCATCAAGTTATGATTCGAGCTCACAGATTTCACTCGAAAGTCGAGTGACCCTCGGCCCCGAAGGCTTTGTGTTGTCGAATGGTGCGGGTCGACGACGTAGTGACGGTAAAACGATCACCCATAGCCATTCTGCTGCCATCGGTAACGTTTTGAACGCTATTAAAGATGAAAAACTCATCGAATTCACGCCCGCTCGAGTGGATTTTGGAAGGGTGGAGACGTGCGCACTCTTCACACAAGACGTGCTGATTAAAAACCGAGGACACGTGTCTATAACGCTGGATACAGTTGATTTTTCCTGCGAAGACTTTTCGCTTGCAAATGATATACGAAGCGTTCGATTGGAGCCTGGCGATCACTTTAACCTACAAATTGTGTACGTTCCAAGTGAAGAGAGCGCTAACGGTATGGATACCCATTTACGTCTCTCCACGACATCTGGTGTCTTCTCAGTGCCTATTACTACTTCAGAAATTGTTCAAAATCGCTATGGTGTCAAATCCCTTCAGGCACTTGCTTCCCGTGACCTACACTTCAGAACGTCGCTGGAGTTTACGAATCCGTTGGATACAACGATTCGACTCACGGATATGTTCACACTGGATAAGTACATTGATCTCGAATTAAGACGTGGAAATGAATGGATTCGATCACAATGGTTGCGAGAAGGAGAGGACAAGAAGGTGCCAGAGACATCGGAAAAGGACGATCTGGAACTTGATAATAACAGACGACTTAATAAGAGACAACCTCACCGAGGCAGTTATGATTTACTCCCTGGAATCACGAGTCCGCTGGTTGAAGTCTCACTGCCTAGAACTACGCCGGTGGGTGTATATAAAACGTATATTTTTTTTTATGCAGGCAGCGAATGTTTGCTCGTCATACCTGTACGTATTACTGTGTTGACACCAGGCGTTCATGTCATTCCCGACAAAATTGACCTTGGAATACTTCTGGATACGACGGCTAAAAATTCGCACGAAGTCTCGCTGAATCTGTATAATGCGGGTGCGAATTACATTGATGTAATGGAACTTCTCGTGCTAGAGAGCAATTTGGTTGTTTCGGCGCAATTATGGGATGAATCGTCGGTCATTCCTCCCCAGTATGAGGCAAAAGATGCACTTACTGTTCGCATTCGTGTCGATACAAAAAGTAGTGGAACATGCGTGGGATCCGTAATGTTGAGAACAAATGCATCCAGTGATGAGTTCGGGCAACAGATATTGCTTGTGTACGGACACGTAATACACGGTAGCTTGGTTTTTCAGCTTCACACGACGCACTTTGGAATCGTAATGCCGTTAGCGAATGTTTTTCGCGACGATCATGTCGCTGAGGTCATAGAAGATGGCGATGAGCTATTAGCCAGGTCTTCAGAGATGGCAGCAACTGAGCTTGTTTCTAGACTCGATCAAGCCGGATCAACCACAGTACTAGCCGGAACAACGGTGGTTCGGAAAATCCGATTTTGGAACCTCTTCGATTCTCCCGTAGAAATGCAGCATGTTTGGATGGAGCCCACAACATCAGGACACGACGAAATTTCAGTGTACAAATTTACACAAGGTGAAGCTCTTACCGGATCATATTGGCCCGAAGTTTTACTTGAGTTCACACCAGCTTTACAAAGCGGAAAGGACATAATAGTGGCGAGGTCATACTTTTTAATGCTGGAGACTAACGTATCTCGTCACCGGATCCAGCTTAGTGTGTATCACGGCTTTTTGCGCGCAAACTCAACGAGAGGGCTTCATCAGTACTCGGTGTCAGGCTATTCGAGTGATTCGGGCTCTCTTCCATGCTTGGAAGTGCCAAAGAAAGGGCAAGATATCCGAGTTTTGCCGCAAATTGATGGTGGAGACGAAGTTGCAGATGCACAGGCTGTTCAAATCTGCCGGTCACTGGTCTTTGACTTAGGAAAAGTGGCGTCCCATCACCCTCGCACAGAAGTGGTGATGCTTAGAAATGATAATCCAGTTCTTATTACATTAAATGTCTCAAGTGTATCTACAGGTGGCATTGTTGGAGTGTCCATACGAGCGGATATTTCTTTAATCGATCGTGAATTTGCCGTAAGTGGGAGTCCGCCTTACTGGTACGATGAAGTTGACAGCAATGCTACTAGTAGTAACATCACGATATCGACAGGGAAGCGTATTGAGCTTCCACCTGGCTTTCAAGTAAAATTTTATGTACAAGTGTTGGCGAGCCAGTTATTTCAAAGGCTTACAGCTCCAGTCATGACTGTCGAAACTCCCACGGAAGCGTTCCATTTTTACGCTCGACTTTGTAGCGTACAGGGCACAGTCAAACCAGTGACACAAGTCATTAACTTGCCTTCGATGTTACCTGTGCATTCAAGGGAGATTCACATACAGTATAACAATACCTTGGAGCACATCGTTACCCCACTGGAAGCTAGAGTCAGCAGCTCAAATTTAAAAATCTTGTCTAAAAAGAATACGATCGCGCCAAACCACGTTGAAAATGTGCTGACCGTGCGTTTTTCACCCACAGAAAACTCAAGATGCTTGGATGCTTTATTTCTCGCAGATTGCTTCATTTCGTTGCCAGATTCTGTGTATGAGCAGACGTTTACGCAGCTTTCGGATTATGGGGATTTTGTGTCTTATCACGATCTAAAGGCATTAAAATATCGTAACGCGCGTTGGGGTCGTATACGTGACTCAAAGGTTCATATGATGGTAGAATCTCAGGTATTTTTGCAAACAGATATCGTAGAAGATATCGCAGAAGTTACTATCAAAGCGCTTCTTGAGCGTCCTCTAGTCACTGCATTAGCAAGTGCCTCACTGCAAAAGAACAGTAACATGTCAAGTGCGATCAATTTTGAGGTGACCGAGCTCCATGAAAGGCGTCAAATGTTTGTAAATGTGCGCAATCCAAGTCATCAGACGGTCCGAATGGAGCTGACAATTGCCGAAACCGATCGTCACATGTTCTTTTCATGCAAAAGTGATACGGATGTCAGTGCTGATGGAGAAGTTGATGATGAAACTGGAAAAATATCTCCATTGTGCTCAGCTGAGTGGAATACAGAGATTGACAATGCCGTCGCCACAGAGTGGATTATGCACAGTGCTAGTAACGTTCCCCCGTTTTACTTCCGAAAGCGAATTGTTCAAGTTCCCGCTGGAAGTGAAGCGCGACTTGGTCCCATCTATTACCTCCCATCGAAAGTCCAAAACGTAAATACGACGGTCTACGTTCGCAATCGCCTCTCGCACATTGAGGCTGTGTCTATTCAAGCACACAGTGATAAAGGTTTGCTGGCTGTTTCCGCTGACGTTGTAGCTGGTCCGGGCAAAATTGTTTTTCTTCCCGTAAAGCGCAGTGACGTCTTCGAAGCAGACGACTTGGCGATGTTTGATTCTCACTTCGGAGATCAAGCGCTGTTAAGCTTTCATATCTCAGGGGTCGACGCACTTACGGACTATACCCAAAGTGCCAATATCCTGCTTACCAACATAGGAGCACTCGGTTTAACTATTCGAAGCGTGAATATCGACGAATATGTTGATATTTTCAAGGTGTTGTCGTCGAGGTCGAAGTCGTCGGAGTCATCAGCAGTAGCGTCGCGAACGAAAGATTTTGTGGTGTCATTAGAAGAACATACCCTGAAATTTGACGAAGATCGTCGTATTATCCTTCCGGCTAATAAAACTGCGAGCTTTCGTCTCTCATTTCGCCCAAGTTGCTATGAGTCCAGTGTAAAAGGTTGGTTCACAATCGTTTCTAGTGACAGTATTAGACTGGTCCGACTTCATGGCAGCATTACAAAGGGTGCAGCTATCTCATGTTTGCGCTCGCGGACACCTTTGCGATGGCAAATTGGATTATACTGGGTCTGGATGCTTGCGACTGCGGTGACCATGATGACTATTTTTCATACAGTATCGATTGCGTACGATGGCCTGAGTTTTGAATTACTACGTCGATTTCAGCTTTTCAGACCCGAAGCATCGACCAGCAATGAGACGGTAGTACCCGATCAAAATATAGACACAGCGATTCTGAATGTAAAACAGAAAAGGCCGAAATCATGCACATTTGACACGATCAGTCGTCGCCTAGAACAGATAAAGCAGACAGGATTTACTCCATCAGCTCACGTAGAAACCCGTGCAGTCTCAAAGTTGATGGAGCAACGAGTCAAAGAACTGAATCTGAGTGAACGATGCAGTTCGCCGTCTAAAGCTGTCCTTGATGATAAAGGTAAAAAAGAGGCTGCCCTGTCTATTACCAAGGTACTATATAACGAGGACAAGGACGTCTCGTCTTCGCTTGTCGTTGAAAATGACCCAGTAGGTGCTGGTGCAGCTGAACCGGGTGCGCGTGACACTCAAGGAAATACTGTAAAAGAAGTAAAGCACAAGGACTACACAACCTCTACGCTTCCAGAGATTCTTAATGTTAATGACCGCCGCAACAGTGACGCTGAAGCAATTGACAGTATTGACAAGGGATCGAGTGAGAGCAGTGACGTGGGTTCAAGCAAAACTAGCTTTGAGTCGTACCAAAGATCACCTTCATCGTCGCCTTCGAGGACTGACCATCCAGACGATTCCAGACTTGATGCTGTTTTATCTGAATGGTCACTTTCTTCTCTTGGCAATCAGCCGAAACTTGTCACGACATTACCACCTCCTCCTATAGATACTAGCTTGTCAACAAAGCCAGAAGAGCCTTTTGAGGCATTCGAGTCATTATCGAAACGATGGCGCTCAAAAGATTGGCAGCAAAACTTAAGCAACTCTTCACTGTCTGGAAATTTTCCGGAATGGAGCAACTCGATGTTGTTTAATACGTCAAAATCCGACTCGCTTGGTTTGACAGCTAGTGGTAATCGAAGTATCGAGACTGATACAAGTGAGTTTAAAGTTGGCCCGCGGCTGAATGGCCATGATTTTGCAGCATCTGCGCCACGCGCAGGTTCATTGTCAACAAATTCGACGCCAAATGCGGCTTTGAGAAAAGCTCCTCCTGGATTTACTGCTGCAGATGCTAAGCCTTTGGAGACGCAAGCAGCTTTTGGATTTCGTCGAAACAATGGAGAGCCGTCGCGCTCTCCATTGACCCTTGACTCCACGTTTGCAAGTAAGTTGCCACTATTCGGCCCACCGCTACTGTCGACGAGTAATGAAAATGTCACGCTCGGCAATGTCGGCCGAATCGGAAGTGGACGATCGAAGGTGCCCCGTGGCGTCGACCAGTCGACATTCGAATAGAATTTTCGACAATCGTCAGCCCGCAAGACAATATACTTGAGTGAGTCTCTTTCACTTTATGTAAATACTGACAAATCTGGAATTTTTATAAATTCTCATGAATAACGAAATTCGACTTTGAATTTGAGCTATTAAGGTATACGAGTTAAAAACACTACAGTGAAACCTGTCTAAAATAAACATGTTGGGACTGGGGGACAGTGTTTAATTTAGATAGGGTTTTGAATAAGGGAGGGTAGCATAATTATCAAAAATTCCCTAACCCAGGCTGGGTATATTTAA